CATGCTGAAACATGATTAAGTTTTTGTGTGAAAGGTGGTTTTAAGAATCAGTAACACCTTGTCGTGAAGTATGCATACTTTGCTATCACTTTGAGTTGTGAATTGATATCTATAATCAAGTATCAGACATAAAGGGAATTTCACATTTCTGGTACAGGAGAATGATTTCCTAAGTGTGTCAAGGGAGTTTATAAAGTTCTTTACTTCTTTAAATCTACTTTAATTACATTTGGCAATATCCTAGGCTTCCCTCTGTAAATATATAGTTTATACACACTTCAGTCTCACTCCAGAAAGGTGAAAAGATCACTGCCAAAAGGTAGAAAGGGAGGTAAACCTCATAAAAGATTCATCCTTTGGATTTTTGCAAGCCTGTGTGGTTCACATCATTAGGCTGTTCTGTGGAGAGGTCATCACAGGAGCAGAACCTGGTGTTTTAAGCTGGTTTGTGGAGGATGTACTGGATGTTCAACACTTCATATTTTATGGCTGTGAATTTTACTTGAAGGTGCTTTTCATATGTGCTAGCACCAGTGGGATTCCTCCATAGAGAAAGCTCTGGCAGTTTTTTACAGTCAACTGATTTAGTTAATACCATAATGAAACACACTGGAAGGTGTGGAGATTTTTATAACTGGGAACTGCTACAGGTCCACAGGGACTGCTTTGATGGTAGACTGTCTGGGGGTAAGGTTTCCTAGTATCATATAGATTAAATAACTTTTTTTTTTTATGGCTACAGTAAAAGAAGGAATTTTTGTTCTTTGGAACTGCAGAGATTTCAGATCTCCCATATTTCTGTTGTTACTGATATAGATGAGATCTAGCACTGGATGATCTGATGAGAACTGCTATTAACTGCCTTTGTAAACCCCAATCCTAAATTTTTACCTATGCCAAAATCTCATTCACTTCTTTCTTGAAATTGTGATTTGCCAGCTTTGTTTTGTAAAGCTTCTGTTTGCTCCAGTACACAATATTCAAAGTTAGTTGCCTATGAAAAATCTAAAAAAATCAGGTAATATGTGTCAGCTAGATCAAAACAGCAAATGACGTTTTAGAGACGGGAACAAGGAAACCGACGTTTGAAAACAGATGAAAACAAGGTTGCTGATGCTCTCTCTGAAATGCATAATCTGGCAAAGAAAACCATCTTCATGAACATTTTTGGTGGTGTGATGGATATTTGATACTTTGGTGTGATGTACAGATACAGTTAGCCAGTGACAAGTTAAAAGACATTATTGATCAGAGACCATCTCTAGAGAGATGACATGCTTCTGCTGCCATGTAATTATTTTAGCTCCTCTTTGGTAATGATGCTCAAATGCAATTGGATTTTGCCAAAGATAAAAGTGTAAAAGAATGACTACCAGGCCATTTCTTAGACTGGCACTAGCATGAGACAAGAGGTGATGTTTTTCTGATACTTGGAGACTAAAACTTACTTATAAAATAATTAAGGAATAAACACATCAAGGAGGAAACAACATAACTAGAGTTCACTTTGCACTCCAAGACAGGAAGTAGATCAAAGTCACCTGGTCTTCCTTTAAGAAATTCCAGATTTTGCATTTGCTTCTTCATGCTTTCACCCTGTGCATGTACATTTTGTTACCTTTACATACTGAAATTGAATATTCTTTGATTTTTTGCTCCAGATGGCAATATACATGGGTAACCTCTAGACAGAAGCTTTTTTCCATCCTGTGCTGCTAATAACCACTGCCTTTTCCTTACTGCAAAGCTGCTGCTTTCAAGTGAGAATTTTTTTTATTTCTCTAAAGGTAGTTAAAAGAGGGAAAACATGCTAGTTATGGCTATATACCTTATTTCTAAATTCTGGGCTTAATTCTCTTTGGAAGTTTTGAAAGGTTTCAGTTTAAATCTGATGTGCCTTGCAAGTTTGTATGCCAAATTATGTTTTCTGTGCCAGAGTTAGTAGGAGCTCAGTGGGAGGCAGGAGATGCTGGCTCTGCTCTAAGATATTGCCAGCCTGCAGTAAGTGGCTTTTGCCTCTGTTAGCAGGGCTGGGGTTTGGATCGGTGGCATGTGTTGAAGGATTCCTGATGCATGAGGGTAGACTCTGCTATTTAGGAACACGCCATTCTGAAGAGTTTTGCATTTGCACTGCTCCTGGTTTGTTAATGGCCCTTCCTTTACTCTGTATCCCTTTTTTTTTTTGTTCCCTTGGAAAAATGTATCTGCTTTTAGTCCATGTGCCTAACAGCTGTGCATGAAGTAGCTAGGTGATGCATAAGCTAGAAACTGTGTACGCAGATGCTGAGTCCTAGAAAAAATGCTGAAGACTATAATAAACTCTTTGCTTATGTAATAGAGGGCAAAGGATCATTTTTTTCTTAACCTAAATTCTAGTTTCAGTGATGTTGTTGGATGTTGGCTCTTCCTAAATGTCCACTGTAGCTGTAAGGAGTTGCAATGTCTCCACACCACTGGACCAGATGGGTTAAATTATTGACCCGTGATCTGTCTGTGAAAATATTTGGGAAATCAGGTAATGCAAAAACATGGGTCACTGATAGTTGGTCTTCAGAGTATTTTACATTACAAATCTGCAAAATGTATTGCTTTCTTTGAATTTATTTGTGTACAACCACAAAGCTGACAAGCTTATTGACTCATGGACTGATTTTCTCTGTTTGTAGTCTGGTGCTAGTTCATGCTTCATGGTGCTGGTTCATGGTGCTAGTTCATGGTGCTAGGTTTAAAACTATTTAATAGGGTGTGTCTTAGTAATGGACAGCACATGCAGCCCTACTGCTCTCTCCCTCCTGGGACAATTTTTTAAAGTTATGAATAGTTCAGTTTGTTTAGCATACAAGTTTTCTAAATGTTCTATATGTTGTTTATTTTATGATGCTAAAATATTATTGTTAGTTACCACTAACATATTTTTGATCTAAACTTTGTTCAAATTTGACTAAAATTTAATTGAAATGTCTCATGTGGGATGACGTGTGGCAGTTCTTATTTTGTTTGCCAATATGATGCAAATGTTGGAAAATTAGTTGCAGTTGGTTCAGTGTTGTGATAGGCATACAATTTGTAGCCTATATGGAAGAGCCAGTTGACTGAATTAATATTTATCTTGAATTATCTTGAGTTGTACCCAGTAGCTGGTTAATCTGGTGAAATTGTGGAACTCTTTAATAGACTGGAGGTTAAAGGTTGTAGCAGAGAGAAGACAGCTGAGGAGACAGCCCCTGTGCTCTGTCGAACTTGGAATGAGACTGAAACTTTAGAGCACACAGAAAAACTGATAGTCTTAATGGCCTCCCTAGATTAATAATGTCAAATGCTTGTTTTGAAGCTTTCTATACTTTTGTAATGAATATATTAAACCTGTTCCCTTTCTTGCTTGATGATTTATCATTCCAGACCGTTTCTACAGAAGCCTGTTGCACAAATAAGAAAAAGGAAGGGACAGCAGGTCCTGATCTGTTAGGAGGTCCAGGTCTTGCAGGACAAACATTAACATGTAGGAGTGTTTAATTTATTATTAAGTTTTTATTATAAATTTTTAATGTTATCTGGTAGTAAGGTCATCAGTTGACCTTACTGCCAGGCAGTGAGGAACTGGTGAAGAAGCTTTCCACATTGCTGGTTTGTATTCCCTAACAACTCCTAACAGTGGGTATTGCTGCCTCATCTCCTGATTAATGTTCCTTTCTGTACCAGTTGGTGCTGGTAATAAATCACCTTGGTACCTACATAGACTCTGTTGGCTTGTATATCTTGGCTTTCTTAAACGTATGAAACACTTTCAATAAAAGCCAGAATTTAATCAGTAATAATTGAGTTTCAATCAAATGCTATTTAAGCAACATAGTGTAAACACTTAGGAAAAAAACTGGCATCAGAGAAGGGAAATGGATTTGATACAGATAGGAGATGACTGACCTATTGCTTCTCAGCCACATGGACCTTGCTAGCACTTTGCCTGCAGCTCTCTGACTGGAGTTGTGTCAGGTGATAAGCAGCTGGGTGGGAGGAGGCAGCTCCTTAGGGGCAGTGTACCCAACATCAGTAGTCTGCCGTAAGACTCAGCCGTATCTCCTCTTCCTCCGTGGAGTAAGGAAATCTGTAGGAAACTGTGCGCAGAACTCTCCTCAGATCTGTTCCCAGGCATCTGCCAACTTTTGGGAGAATGTATTGCAATTACTAGCCACAGGAAACCTGGAAGTCAACAGAAGTGCATCTTAGGCTGGGGTGTCCCTCAGTAGTTGCTTCCAGGAATGAACATGTGTTTGTTTTCCACTTTTTAATACAGAATTACAGATGGCACAATAGTTCTCATCAATTTAAACTTTGCTACTTTTTGGAAATAACAGAATTCCAGTTAGATCAAATCAGCTGACTCCTTAGTTGGAAAATCAGTGTGCTTGTCTCTGCTACCCTTTCTTTCTTTTGAAGAGCCCTGCCTCCTGAAAATGTGAATTGACTACTTTTTGAGTGATACTTAGCACAGACACTATGGAAATACTTCCTAGTGTAACTATTAACTTTGAACTTATGCATGATGTAATCATTACAATCCTTCAAATAGTTATTTCTTCGGATTTCTCTACGATCTAAATGCTGAGAGACTGCAACAAAACTACTACTTTGTCTTACTGTCTTGTTTAGAAGCATGCTGCTGTGTGCTGCCAATATGTGGCAAGAAATACAGTAGGACTAAGTTTTATTCCACTTAAAATAAAAGAAAGTTCGTGGGTGATGCACAAACTCTTTTTACAAAGTTGAGGTATAGCACTTTACTGAAGATGCTCTTTAAGAGCAAATCTGTACTATTCTGGTCTGAATTTGGTGATTTTGGGTTAGGGTGTTTTTTGTTGTTGTTGTTTGGGGTTTTTTTGTTTTTAATATCTTAACTCGTACATGTAACATTGTGACTACTGCAGTTCTTCAGCGTTAACAAAATTGAGAAAGAAAAGAGACAAGTATCATTAGGTTAGTCTATGGTAACATTATTGTGTAAATTAGTGGACATAATACAGCCAGTAAACAACATTGAAAAGAATAAATGTGATGGGAAAGACCATTCTGGACCATTTGTCTATTGAGTTAACATCAGTCAAATCAGGGATTTTGACTTTGATCTGGGACGCCCTTCTTCGTAAGCGTCCGTTTTTATGCAGCCTGTGCCTGTCCAGAGCACTCCTCCTGTAGAGGTCTCTGCTGGAAGTGGCTCTTCTGTACTGCAGGTTGGCACTGTCGTATGTGTACGTGGTGGCTCGAGGGTCACGCAGGCTTGTGAACACATCTGAGCTGCTGATGTCATTTCGTATTTCAAGTGGGCTAAGAAGCATGTTGCCATGGGGATCAACCTGTGTCAAGGAAGGAAGGTGAATTAGACAAGTTCCTCGGCCACCCCAAGGTGTTTCCCAGACAGATGGGTACCTTCTGGCTCTACTGGTGAGGCACTCCTGGAGCTGCAGTGACAGTCATGTGTTGTATAGTGCTGACAAAAATTAATAAATACCTAAAATGCTTTCCTGACTAGTGTGACATTAACTACTAAGATTTAAGCACCTTCCATCCTGACCTGGCTTCTTGGTCTGAGACCTTTTAATTCAGTTAGTTATCCCCTGCAGAATAAGACTCTTCTAATTTTATCCTTAACTTAGATCATGGTCTTTATGAAATACTGATTTTTAATGCCTGGTGACCTGACACTTGAAACTTTCACATGCTCATGGTGGAAATAAATGGGCAGAGACTGCAACATTTTAGCTCAATTATGCAGTTTTAGTGCTGTAAGTTAGTTTCAAAAACAGTTTTATGATTTCGTTATATGAAGAGCACATAGATACATGGGCATTTTATCAGTTATTGTAAAATGCTTGTGATGAAAATTAGTTCTGGAGAATTACTATATTGCAGAGATGGAAACCCCACTCCCCACAGCATAACATTGTTCTCCTGTGCAGGTAGAATAATCCATTTTACTCCATGAAACTTTACATTCAGTTGCATTTTTTTATGTTGCTACCAGAAGCAGTTGTCTCAAATAAGTTTCTCACTTTATTTGTACTGTTGGTTAGTCAGGACACTGTTTTAAGTACCTAAGCAAAGAACTGGAAACTGTAATTGGTATATGTACATGTCTGGTGCAAAATATATGTGTGTGTATACATAAAATATTTTAATATCATTAGCCTTTTGATGTGTAAATGCAGTTAGCCATGAATGGCTGCATTACTACAAAGCATTTAGCTTTTGACTCATCTTTATTCTTCTACATGTTTGTAGTAAAACCTCTTTTAGAAATATATCTTTAGTTTTCCCACTATTGAGTCCTGACTTCCCCATAAAGATTTTGTAGATGTTTCAAATTTCCAGATACTTAAACATCCACTGTAGCTCAAATGAGGGAAATAAACTTCAAAACACAGACCTCTTAAATGAAATTTCAAAGACTTTGCCTTGAGGGTTGAGTATTAAAATTGATTTTTGTAAACTGTGATGTTGGACCTACCCCAAATATATTACAATCTATACCATGGCTGTCTGCAGATGCCTTTATACCAATGGGAAAAAAACCCAACTTATTGACAATATCTAGTCTTGTGCAGCACCAGTGAGATGCAATGCATTGTTCATGTTCTGAGCTTTACATGGTAATCTACAGCAAGTTGGAAGTATGGTCAAGAAAAAACTCCAAGCAGAGCACATGATGAAATCCATCACTGGGTTTTGCTCTACAGGAAAGCTGGAAGCCAGAGAAAACCTTGGTTCCATCTGGCAGTGTGGAAAATGTTTCTTCCGACCACTGGAAAGAGAAAATGTGTAATGACTGCTGGTATATTTACACTGTGCCAGATCACAGAATGTTAGGGGTTGGAAGGGGCCTCTGGAGATCATCAGGTCCAACCCCCTGCCAGAGCAGGACCATCTAGTCTAGGACAGATCACAAAGGAACACATCCCGACGGGTCTTAAAAGTCTCCATGGTGGAAGACTCCACAACCTCCCTGGGGAGCCTGTTCCAGTGTTCTGTGGCCCTTACAGTAAAAAAGTTCTTCCTCATGTTGAGGTGGAACTTCCTGTGCTCCAGCTTTTATCCATTGTCCCTCGTCCAATTGCAGGGTACAAGTGAAAACAGGTTGCCCCTTTCTTCTTGACACTCAGCCTGCATATATTTATACACATTAGTTGTATCTCCCATAAATATCCGCTCCCCAAGACTAAAAAGCCCCAGGCCCTCGTAGCCCTCCACCAGACTCTCTCCAGTAGATCTCTGTCCCTCTTGAAATGGGAAGCCCAGAACTGGACACCATACTCCAGGTGAGGTCTCACCAGGGCAGAGTAGAGGGGGAGCAGGACCTCCCTTTTTCTGCTCGACACACTTTTCTTAATGCACCCCAGGAGACCACTGGCCTTCCTGACCACAAGGGCACACTGCTGTCCCATGGACAACTTCTTATCCACCAGGACTCCAAAGTCCCTCTCAATGGGGCTGTTCTCTAGCAGATCACCTCCTAACCTGTACTGATGCATTTTATTACACCTGCCCAGGTGCAGGACTCTGCACTTATTCTTGTTGAACCTCATTACTTTCCTCTTTGCCCAGCTCTCCAGTCTCTCTAAATCTCGTTGAGTGGCCTCACAGCCTTCAGGTGTATCAGCCAAACGTCCCAGTCAGATGAAACAGTAGCTGAAAACAAATAAGTGAAAGGGCTATTTGTACAAAAGCAACCCAGGAGAGCTGTGAGGAAAAAAACATCTCCCACATGGAGGAGGATGCCACCACAGATAGAAGATGCTCTAGTCGGGTTTAGGAACTGATTCTGTAGATGCAGAAATGAGCATTCAGTAGGAACATCCCAACTCCCACCACTGTTTTGGTGGGAAAACTCAAACATTTTGGGCTAGGGAGGCCAGCTGGTCAGAAACCAGCATGGTGTTTGCAGTCTTTACTTGAGATATGGACTACCCAATATATACTTTTTAGATCAAATCTTCACATTTAAGCAGAGGGAAGATGCAAGCTAGGATTTTCTACTCTCCAGAGGACTGCCAGAACTATGGTACTATTCGTTACTCCTAAGATCTGATATTTTCTGTGGAAAAAGCGATGATGTAAGGATTGTCTCTGTGTGAAAGAGAGTTGGTTTTTTTTTTTTTTTCCAAACACCAGAGGGTTTGAGAGGTCAACCCTTCCTTCCCAGTTTTACAAAATAGCTCTTTGAGCTGTCTTTGATTACATAAGCTAATGTTTAAACTAATTGACTTTAGTGTTATAATGGTAGTAACAGGAGTACAAGCATCATTAAGCAGTTATTATGGCTTCTCTTTTGTGAAGACAACCCATAACTGTCTACAATCTAAAGTGATTCACAGGGATGTTTCTTAAACTAAAATGCCTTGACAACTTATTATAAGCCAAGCAGCATATGAATTCCTGCTTTAAGTGTTATAAATGAACCTGTTACATTTAAAAATGAGTTTATTTAAATCATTTTAGGCAGGATAATTTGTATACATGATGAAGCAATTCAGTCTTTGAATTGCAGCCTTTGCAATTCAGAGTAAAGGGCCTTACACTGATCTTGAACAAATTAGTTCAGAGAAGTATGAAAGCTCTTCTTAGGTACATGGGTCAAATTCTCTGCTTGTGTGACATAATAGTGGTGGACTAATAGTTAATTTTCCATATTGGTAAAAACCCTTTCAGAATTCACCGAATTTCACTCCAAAATATTCTTAAAACTTGTGCAGATGAGGTTTTGTTACTGAAGCATAGGATCCTACAGATTCCCACAGGAATCTGGAGATTGAACAAATTGTTAACAGATCCTCAAAAGATACTTACTAGTATTTTTTTATGTTGGTGTTAGAATGAATGAACAGCAAATATGCACAGAGTAAAAGCTGTGAATTTTCTGTCTTAAAACCTTTTCTGTCTTACTTAATATGAAGTTACCTGGGGCTTGGTGTTGGTCCTGTGCTGGAGGAATCCTTGTGTATCAAGAACAGCCAACAAGTTTTAACTCATTCCACCCCCTGTCTCAGAGATGAGGCTCCTTCCCCACAGCAGGTAGGTTCTGCAGTTGTACAGTCATTGACACATTAGCATCAGATGACGTGAAAAAATGGGGATGAAAGAGATAAGGCTCTGTCTACTCAGTTTTCTGGCCCAGTAACTGGATGCCGGCTTAGGAGTAGAGTATCTCAGTCCCCTCCTTAGGTAGGAAAGATGAGCCGTATCAAGCCCAGAGTAGTTCTCCTTCCTTGGATATTACACGTTTATTCTTTCAAATACCACCACCTTGTTGTTCTTTAACTGGAACGCCCTAAATTTTATTACATAAACTGACATTGCACAGATGAAAACAGGATTTTTTGCTTAACAGGTGTTCTGAGCATAAATGTGTTTGCAAGAACATATACACTTTGCCTTGTTTGTACAATGCATAAATTTTGCCTAAACTTGTAGAAAGCTGAAGAATTGTTACTTTTTTCTTTGAATGTGTCATGAAGAATATGTGAGGAGGATGTCAAAGCATCTAAAGCTGACGTTGTGTTAGTCATCTGGTATAATTATCAAGGTTTAAATATTCTTCAGGTGCATGTATGTGGTGACACCTCTTGTAATGACATTTGTATCTATATTGTGTATCTATACTGAGTTTATAGATTTTTAATTCTTTGTATACGCCAAAACTACCTAAAGCCTAAATCAGCACAGGTACATATATAAATTTTCATCAATGATGGAAAATCCTTGATGTGTGCCTGGGAAACATCGTAAAAAGAAATCATAATATGGTTTGAATGTTTACTTAAAAAATGAGTTTCCTACTTAGGAGCATCAGGTGATACTCTTAAGTCTAAAATAGATGAATTAATAAAAAAGACCCCGAACAACAGTCTTGTTTTGACCAGGTAAAAAGTAGTCAGTTCTAAGGGAAAAGCGTCTTGGCATTCCTTGACAACGGATGGGTCTCAGAGGCATAGTGCTGTCTGGAATGTTTTTTTATCTACCTACTCTTTTTATGTTAACTGTTGGGAGATAAAAGGTAAGAGCTTCTGTTTTTTTCTTAATACAAAAACATCTTTTCTTTCTCTTAAGATGAAAGATGCAGGGCCATGTTACTCATACAAGCTGTCTTGTTGAAACAAATGCAGCAGTGTTATCACAATTTGATCTGCAAAGAAACAGGTTATGCTCAGCAGGGATATACTTATTCAGGTGTGAATTTACTTGAACATTTTGCTAGTTGTGTGGTTGTGTGCTCCCTCCTTTTTCTCCTTCCAGATACTGTATTAGAAAATCATATGTTTTCCTTGGAACCCGTGGCTGGTCTCTGGCTTTCCATCCCAGTTATTTTGTGGTACACAGAAAGTTTGAAAGGAGGGTGTGATGTGCAGAACTGAGGATCAAAAGACTATCTATCACCTGCCTTGTGTTGCTATTTATAGACCCCTTGATGACTTGGCCCCTTTCCTATTCACATTATTATTGCATCCTACCTCTTCCTCCTGCTTAAGAGACATTTTCTGTGTATTTGTTTATTCATATTATAATTGTCTGGGGAAACAGAAGTAGTTGCATGCATCGACTATCTATCTATTTTCTTGCTGGGTGGTTTGTCCTATTTATCCATAATTATGGTGGTTTCCTCAGTGATATCTAGCTTTGACAAAAGGACAAGGATATACAAACAGTCTTTATGTTTTATTCAGAGAAACAGAAAGCTTGTTTACTACAAATTAATATTTTTTTTAAATATTAAAAATTTAAATGGCATAAATTGAGAAACTGGAGAGGCTTTCTTTCCACCTTCTTCATTCTGTGTAGAGTGAGGAACATCCACATATGAGCCACATATTAATTTTCAATCTGATCTTCTCTGTACTGTGTTAATATCGCAGCCAGTTTGCTGAGTGTTGCTCATGTCTGTTGCTTTTCAACTGTTTTAGTTGTGGGAGTTGTGTATCACATGGGAGTGAGAGATATCTTCACCTGGCACAAAGAGAGAAAGCACTGTTACATATCCTCTTTTGGTTATGGGTCCCTGTATGAATAAGTGGTATGGGTCAAGAGTAAAAGGGGAAAAAATATCCTTTAGCTGTATATACTTACAGCTGTACTTCTTTTGTGCTCAAAAAAACTTTCCCTTGCTCTGGTACAGATGTCGTAGTACCAGTGGAAAATCTCAAAATATGATAGAGAGGGGCTGGGAGCTGTCTTCACTAGAGACCACATAATCTCACTGTGTTCCACTGCTCCAGTCATGTGTATTTTTCCTGCTAAAGACAAAAATCCATCTGCTGGACATCAGCATTTCTATGCTGAGTAAAATGAATGCTCACACATCAGTTTATCTTCAGTGGGAGAACAAACTCCATTGAAATCCATTTGCATGTGTGTGTCTATATGTGTGTGCATATGTGTGTATATATATATATAATGTATCTTAAATCACAAACCTGCACGGTACCGGTAGAAAGCAGTCTGTTCACTCAAAGCATTCCCAGACTTAGAATGAAATTGCAGTCTAAAGCATAAACACTTACAAATCCTGGTACAAAGTGTGTATGCCTTCTGTTTTCTGTGAGAAAAATGCTGGTATATGCATGTGATGCTCTGAAAAGCTCAAGTGTGGTTGTAAATACTTTCCATCCCATTCTGAGTATTGGTCTCAGAATAATCTTTGCATCATAACATTTAGACAAAAGTCATGAGTTGGGGCTTTTTGTTAGTTAAACAAACTCTCCAAGTATCTAGGAAAAAGGTCTTACCTGCACTTTTATCCTTTACACTTTCTCATCCTTTATTCAGTTCAGTGCACTGGGGCCCAGGTAGCCAAGGCTGACCTCTGAAGAAGCGTTACTTCCTCTTCATCATGAACCATTGCTGTGCTTCTTCTCACCTTGGATGGGTTATCTTTGGAGCAGTTGAGGTGGCTGGTCAGAGTTTGTGGGTTTTGTTGTTTTTTTTTTTTCCTCTCCTTAACTTCCATAGAAATGGATAGACAGTGTCTGTGTACAACAATCTGAAACTGGGTGGCTTATCTCTGCTTTGTGGAGGACAATACTTTGTGGGACCTTGGAGACTGCTGCAAACCTGAACTGAACTTGTGCACTCACTGGAATAAAGGATCTCCTATGTATTGGGACAGGAGGCAAATGCAGGTAAGGACTTTTAATGGGCTCAAGAGTTTACCAAAACTGAGGCCATGACAACTCTGTTAGCGATGTTCAACCGTAGTTGTGTGGCTGCTGGGACAGCAGACCTACAACTCTAGAACTAAAAAAACATCAGAGTTTCTGAAATGTGCTTCATGACATGTATGTAAAATTACAACCATTCATCAAGCTAAAGCCTTACCTGTTAGAGTTTTATGTGTCGAGCTCATTCTTCAAGCTGAACAGAGGGCTCAAATATAGTTTTGTCCAAATGTTACTGTTTGAGGCCACAACAGTACAGAAGTTTATAGGATAGTCTGAGTAAGATCTCATTAATATTTGGATATAATATATTGTAAGAAAAGCAGAGGACAGAAGAAAATTTTTGGCTTATTAGGATATATATTTCCCTGTGTGTCAGATTGAACCAAATATACCTGAGAGAAGTGTTCATTTCTGAAAAACTGGGAGAAAGTGAAACTGGTTTATACAAGTTTGCAAATGCTTGGTGATGTACTGCTAAATGAAACTTTTCCCTGATAAAAAAATGTCTGTAATATTACTTCCTGTAGTATTTCTGGCTTGGTTTTTAAGAGGAGGTAGCTGTGGTCTGCTTGAGTTTAGCCTGAGGGAAAAATCCGGACATCTATGGAAGCAGTTTAACTGAGCAGCACCCTCCTTGCATTCCTAGAAGCTCAGTGGTGTTGGTTTCATTCAGGACTCACTGAAGCAACAGTGTTTGTCTTTACTTTCTATGTTTGGTGAAGTTTCTGTGTGTAAAGAGGAACTATATAACAAACATTTCTTCTATACCACCTTCTGTAGCAGAGAAATATGCAATTTGAATGGTAAATATTTAACTTCATTGTACCCCTTGTATTTCTTCTGTGCTGCAAAGAAATGCTTGTTCTGAATATTCATTTGCATTTTCTGTGGTTTCTTACTCTGTTTTCAGTTGAAGATGGAACAAACCATATGTTGCTGTAGTCTCCTTAAAATACTACTTTCCTCTAGTCAATCTTAAATGCTTTTGCATAGGTGTTCAAACTGCATCTGTCTCTATCATCATATATGTCAACATGATCATAGCAGAAAGTTTAAAAAGTTAAAAACATTTAAAAAGTTTAAAGAGCTTGAATGTTTTACCTGGAGTCTGCTTGTTTCCAGTCTGCTCTTCTCACTTGTAGCATGTCCTGACCTGCCTGCTGCCTTTTTTTGACGTTGGGGCCCTTTCCCAAAGAATATGTAGTTTACAAAGGCGTATTCCAGCAAGGCCAGGAACACAAACACAAAGCATCCCATCAAGTAAATATCTATTGCCTTGACATAAGGTATCTTTGGCAAGGTCTCTCTGAGGTGGGTGCTGATGGTGGTCATGGTCAGCACAGTTGTGATTCCTGGGAAAGGAAAAGAAAGACTTTGACTAATGAGAAAGGGAAGGAGGTCTGAGTGTGAAAGGTGTAGTGGCAGCATTGCCCAGCTAGCACACACTTCTCATACAGATGGCTCAATTATGTGATCAGAGTCTTAACAGCCAAGACAATATATTTTGCAGGACCGGAAAGAAGATATCCTTGTGGGCCTGCTGCTAGCACCTTCCTTGGCTTTCTGTGCAACAGAGGGTAAATGGAATAGCCTTCAAAAGCCTGGGCTGTCTTGGTACATCTTGCCTTAATTTTTACGTTAACTCTGCTAGGGAACATGGTGTTAGCTGATCTGGATAGCAAAGAGTTGATCACTGTTCTTTCTTTGTGGTGAAAGGACTCTCACTTTATTTACAGCAGTAGCCCTGCTTGACCCCATAGGGCAGCTTGTGTTGCTCTGGAGAACTGGACTAACAATCTAGCTTTTGCTTGAAAACAGAGGATTGAAAGGAGAAAGGGAAGCTTTATGATAAAATGGTGGTCTTTGATGAAAAGAAAGTACTTGTACCAAACCAGCTTTTACTGTTAAAGGAGTGCTTCTGAGTAAAACATTTCCATCTCATTGTATTATCCATCACTGCATTATAATTATTTTTTTGTGTTAGCTGGGTTGAATTATCTTTAAGTCTCCTTTAATCACAGATCATTAATACGTTTAGATAATAAGTATAGGCACAGGTGTAATGAGTTGAATTTACACAGAGGAGGGACAAAGTGGCTTTCTGGCATTAGCATTTGAAAAGCTTTTCTGCCTTAAAGTGCAGGTAATGGTAGATGATCTTGGTTCTTCTGGAAAGTTGTAGGAAGGAACATGGGAAAGAAACAACTATGTAGGTATGTCATGTTAAGGGTAAGAGGTTGATGTTTGCCTTCTAGAGCCCCAAGGACTTGCTAGGAAGCAGTTTTACAAAGTCGTTTGTCTGTTTCAGAGCTCTGCTAAGAACTTGCATCAGGGACATCAGAGTTGACCACTTGATCTGTATCCCTCAGTGAGTTGTGAGATATATGTAAAGCTTACAGTTGTCATGAATGTGAGCAACTTGTTACTTGACTGCTCCAGTGCTGGGGTAACGGAGCTGGTGGTTTGGACTTAGAAGATAGAGAAGCCAAGCAGTTGGGACTGATGGCTAGAGAATTCAGTGCTGAGACAGTTCTTTGAAAAGAGACACGCGTCTCTCTCTGGAGGTGGCTACTGTTGAATGTGAGGAACAGGTTAGATGTCACACACTGCCAGGGCAAGTGGACAACCATTGAGAAAGGTGTTAAGAATTTGAGGTGACTAGCTCTGCAGGAACTGACTTTTGCTGACCTGGATGACCTGATCATTAGATCGAGGTGAACTCAGTGTTATTGTGCCCATGTGGTGTAAGTGTACCCATGCTGAGCATGCCACCATCGTGTGCCAACACAAACATTTTTTTTAACTGGACAGCTATTGAGGCACCAGCGGCGGGTGACTTGGGCACTTGACTGTGATAACATGTAGATAATCTCTCTTCATCCCCACGGGCCAATGTCAGATGGTGTTTCAACAGTAGAGACAAATTCATGGAACTGTTCAGTAAGGTGTATGAGATATTGTCTTGGATGGAGGATAGGTTTTCCTCCCCCACTGTACTGACGAGTATCTCAGCTGTCAGGAGAATGCATTCTCCTGCAAGGCCTGCTCAAGAGAGATGGTACACACCATGAGGCACCCCATGGTTTTTCCTCTCTAACCATGGGGAAGACATCAGAAAATGGGACAGAAAACCTCCTTTGGTCTTACAGGCATGTGTGCATGAGTTGCAAGGTAAAACAATCATAAAAGAGGTTTCCTGCTTGGGCTCCTCCTGACCCTGCTCCTCTTCCTGTTTATTTGGATCACTGTATATTTTCTGGGCTGAGTATAATTTGATTTACTTTATAGTCATATTTGGAGTTAGTCTGGCTGTTTCATTAAGTTTGTTTTCATTTCAGCCTGTGACTCTCCTTTTCCAATGATCCCCCTTCTTGGCTGGGGAGGGTTCATTGGGTGACAGAGCAGCTGCTATAGTGTAGCCCTGGTTACAGGCTGAATGTAGACCCCGGTTAATATCTCTACTGGTGTCGGTGGGATTTTTTGTGTTCATTCCAGCCACACCCGTAACCTCAGAAGATGCTCTTTAACATCAATGAAATGTTCATGTAGCACAGTGTAGATACCCTTAGATACCTGAATTAGATCTTTATGCTTTGGTTTGGAAGCAAGATACTTTTGGCCTGATCTGAAGACCATTACAGCAACTGGAACTCAGTCAGGATCCCAACCTAACTGCAGAGAAAGAACTTTAGATGTAGGCAAGGTGACACCTGCTTGCCTTCCTGACAGTGAAGCTCCTGTGCTGCATGTGTAAGATCACAACTCATGCTGCTGCAATCAGCTGTATGAACCCATAATCCATGGTGCTAAGGTATTCAAAGGCAACAAGTACCTATGTAGTACCTATGTAGAAAAGAAGTTACCTAGAGCAACTCGGGCTGCAGAGGCATCATAATTGATCCAAAAAGATACCCACGACAGAATTGTGATCAACGTAGAAGGCATATAAGTTTGCAAAATGAAGTATCCAATATTTCTTTTAAGCCGGAAGCTAAGTGATAATCGAGGATACGCTCCTGAAAGAAAGAAGTCATACAATGACTAATGCCTAACAGAAGTTAGACATTGGTATTTCTGGGTTGGGGAAGCGGGGGCCACTCTCTTAACTAGGCAGTGCTTACCTGTTGTAAATTCCACTCGCTTTGATATCATTTTGTAATCAACAATAGAAAACTGTGGGAGCTCAATGTTCTTTACTCCTGTTACTGCCGACTCTCCTCCATTCCAGTAAAATTCAATGTCATCAGTAGTGTATCCATCTGAAAAAGAGGCATAATTTGATTATTGATTTTTCTTTTTGTTTTATTGCTTGGCTTATGCAGTTGTGATTAAAGTGGAAGGAGCTGCTAATTCAGGCTTCTGTTGTGTGAGATTTGTTATACAGAAGCTGTGTAGCCTACTCAGTACCCAGGGGAAGATTCAAGGTGTGAGAAGGGAGAAGACAGAAAGCAAGGACAGAATTTAAGATTAAAGATCAATCTTTAGCTAGCTCTAATACTACTACTTTTTATTCAGGCTTCAGTTGCTCAGTTTACCAACAGAGTGATGTAGCATCGGTCAAACTTCTAAACTCTCTAGAAGGAGCTCTGACAGTAAAACCAGGTTCAGTTCCCAGCTTTGCATTTGACTTCCTATGCAGGCTCTAATAAAATGTAGAGTTTGGAGCCAGTGAAGGCAAAGATGATTCTAGAAGAATTCAGGTGCCTGTATTATTACTTGACAATGTCTGTCAGAGCTGTAGGTATCCCTTTGATATTCATGCAGCATTTTATATTTTAATTAGATCATGCCATCTTTGATCTTCTGTTATCACAGAACTATATCCTGTAGACTTCAAAACTAGCACATTTCTTCTCTTTTAATAATGGTGTTGATTGTTTACCATTTTTAATTGCAAATTAGTTTGCTGTTCTACCACTGGGAATGTTAACATTATTGCCATTTTCAAAAACATCTTGACTGAACTCAGAAGTGACTGAGTTTGAAAAAAAATCATAATTGATGATGTTTTAAAACTAATATTTAGTTCAAATATTTGAACAAATATTTAGTTCCAGTTTGTTGCATTTTACAACTTTCTGCAGATATATACCAAAGGAGAGAACATATCACCTATTTTTAGGCTTTTCCTTCAGGTGTTAGATTTAATCAGGTTTAAATCATATGACACAGATCAAATTAAAAATATGTTTGGACCCAAAGCTTATTAGAACCTGACAGTAGTTCTGCCAGCTGAACTGACTGTAGCATTAGAAACCTTGTCAAGAGTTAGTGCTGGGCTGGCTACTAAACACATGACGGATACTCTCTATTAACCCCTTTCCCTTCCCAAAGGGGAAGAGAATAAGAGAGAGACTTACAGATAGGAAAAGAAAACTAAAAAAGCTTTAATGAAAATAATAACAATGAAATATACACAAAATCAAAACTGCTGTGAAAAGCAGGCACTGGGGAATTCTCAGATTTGGCTCAGTGGCAGATGGGAACTGCATTCAGGAGCTAGATTCTGGAATGGGATTCAGGAATGCATGGATTGGGATTGAAGACAGAATAGAGTCCTTCTTGGATTCATGCCATTGAAGAAGAGAGCTTGACCATTGTGATCCCTCAGCTCTATACTGAATATGATGTCTATGAGATAGAATATGTTGTGGGTCAGTTTAGGGTCACCTGGCTTGTCTGCTCCTCCATGCAGTTGTGGCCTCTTACTTTCTGCACCCCTAATGTGGGACACAAGATTTAATGGTGACCTTGGTCTCCATATAAGTAAGAGCCTTTCTGCACACCAGTCCTTGGTAGTAACTCCAAACGTCAGGTGTTATCGCTGCTGGAAGCAGACACTGTCTGCAAAAATATGCTGTTAACTTCAAAAAGTGCAGTTAGCTAGAGGAGACTTAGCCAAAAAGTAAAATCACTGAACAGAAATGGCTTTGTTATAACTTAAACCAGGACAAGCCTCTACAGAGTTAGGGACTTATCCTTTCATATGCACCAGTAATGCAATTTCTAGCTAGGGAAATTAGCCTTGAGATGTCTTTTCCTATGGTAGTGCCTGGTAATAGCTTCATCTCTGGAAGGCTGACCACGTGCAGAATGGGTCTGTAGTTTCCCTGGTGACAATCAGAGGAGCTCTCAACTTGCTTTCAGACTCAAGGGACTGCTTGGAAAGTCTGCAGTTATTGAACAGCTATCTTTTGATGCAAACACACAGTGACGGGCTGAACAAGGTTAAGTGTTCACATATCTTGTTTGTGAACTGCTCAGTGCCATGGTTTGCTAACGACCTGAATTGTTCCCCTAACCATACTAACCTTTGTCTTATGGATTGCTGCTGTTTGCTTAAAGCTGTGCTTCTGATTACTTATGCTATTGTTTTTTTTTTTTTTTTAAATGTACCATCCCAGGACTGTCACACAGGGCTCTCTGCATGACTAGTTGTCAGTCCCTTCCAGGTAGGAGCCAAAAGCTTTGCAGTGCAAAAGAGCAAGGTAGCTGCTTGGTAGTGGGGCTTCAGTAGCTGCTTTAAAGGCATTCCACACAGAACACAGGGCCAACAGGAGCCACACGTAGAGTGTAATGCAGAATGATTGAAGGATGACAGCTTTTTAAAAGGCCAAGACTAAGATGGTCAGGGAATTGTTAACTTTATCTTCTTGCAAACCTCTGTTATAAAACCTCTCTCTCAAATTTTTTCCCTTTTTTTAAAAAAGAGGGAGCAAACCAGAGGAAATGGTAAACTGTCCCCTCCTACTGACAGAGTGTTGACTATGTGTGAACTCAGTACTGCACAGATGTCCTCGACGTGAGGTAATACTCATACCTATTTCTTTGTCTTTAGGGACTAGAATAAAAAAGAAAGCTCACGCGCTGCCTAGATGTTGCACTAATACTTGCTGCAAAGTCCCAGGTGAAGATGTGAGAATCCTGGATTCTGCTTCAGGATTTGGAAGAAAATGGTGAACCCAATTCTTCTGTTCTGTGCTATTACCACCTGAGGCCCCTCTCATTCCCCTCCTTCCCATATTGCTCTGATTGTGCCTGCATCCAGGACAGAGAGAGGAGCCATCTCCAATCCTTCAGCAAGTCCTGAATTTATTTGATGTATTCTTAGGCAGCCTCTGTCAGCCTCTCTGTAGTTCTTCTCCTTTCTTGACATAATAGAGAATAGTCTGGGCACTTTATTGCAGACAAAATTCCCTTTCCCGAAGGTGAATTTTTGTAGATTTAGTTGTTAAACCACAGTGGCACAAAATATCAAAGGATATCAAAGAGCAGATTTAAAAACAAACAAACAAAAAACTACACACACAAACCAACAACAACAAGACAAAAACAACCAAAAACCAAACCCAAAACCAACCAAACAAAAAACCAAGCAACCAAAGAAAAACCACCAAAACCAAACCCAGGTACATCTTCCTACCAAATAACTGTTATTGGTGATGCTGGACCTTTGCAAAAACAGTTATAGGAGTTTTGTAATGTGAAAGAAAAAAAAAAAGTGCTTTTCACTAGTCTTGAAAACTGTCTGTGACTTTGGCTACTAAATTAAAAGTAGAAGTACAAATTTATAGTCAATTGACCAAAAGCAAGAACCTTGCATGGAAGACATCAGCTGATGACAAGCCATCACTGCTGGCAGGCCATGTCTTTAACCTTTACAAACTTAAAAAAAATTACAAAAAGTGGATCCAGAGTGAGCTACTACTGTTTCTGTGCTGATTTGTTCCTTGATGTTAGCCCTGTTAAAGCTGGGGGGAGATGAGAAGGGAGTAGTTTTTCAGTTGTGAGGATTCACGTTAGTTCTCTTTGCAGGAGAATAATTGAGCAGGAACACCTTCCTGTGGTTTGGTATAGAGAGAACCTCGGTACAATCATGATTTCCTTGACAGTTATTGGAGTAACACTATTTGGCACTAACAAGGTGTAAACTCTCCCCAGGTAGCCCATTCCCTGACGTGATATAATTTTATGTTTTTTGTTGTGTGATGCCCTTCATGATGTGATTTGCCCGTTGTTCTAGGTGTGTGAGAGGCATTGCTTTCATGGCTGATTATGGCTCAGGAGCAGAGCTTGGAGGCCTTCATGTTACACAGGCGTTGACATTGCTTTTTTTTTCCTAAAAAGAAATTGCTTTCTTTTCTAAACTAGCAGACTCGGGAGGAACACAGTTGGCTGCAGTTGAAAGACTGGAGGCGATCACAGCTCTGAACAGAATTAGAGGACAATTCACTCCTCATTTCTGAAGTGTATAGTGAGGAGCTGTAGTGATGTAAATGAAGGAACGTTCAATGTGGAGCAGCACTAGCTTCTGGCTAGCAGGCAATGACAAACCCTCATTTCTGCCTTTAACATTTACAACGGAAGAAAAGCTATTTCAGTGATGGAAAAAGCAGGTCTAGCCTGTGCTGTGGCCAGCTCTAACAGGCTGGTTTGTTCGCTGCACTTATCTATGCTGCCCAGGTATTCCCCTGGCAGCTTTTTGTCCGTGTGATCCTTTTCTGTTCGCGTGTGTATCCGTGTCACTGCTTTGAAGGGACACCTCTGCCTTTGTGCCGGAGAGAGCAGTACTTGGAACCGGGCGGTGATGTCCGAGCACAAATTTCATTGAGGTGAAATACTGGGAGCTGGAATATTGGTAGTCGGGGGGAGAGCTCAGGGCGCAGGGCAGGCGTTCGGTGGCCG